CTTTTGTCGGGATGCAAATCCTTATCTCCAAAATCATATTTGGTGAGCATATAGTCTGTTTTCTGCTCTAGCAGATGTGGGCTAATAACTTTAATAGGATAACTAATAATGATTTAATTTTTAGCTACGTTTTCGATGTAGAAAAAATTGCGCACAGACTGAAATAGAAACTTAATATAGTAGAACAATAATATTGTTCTTAAATCACCCTATAAAAACAGATAACAGTGTAGAGAAACACTTATTTTTTAAAAAAGAAATTATATTCATTTACAGCGTGTGTATTTAAAAATGAGGTAAAATTATTTATTACAGATAATATTAATGTGCTCATAATGAATAAAAAATTAATTTTGTACATTAGCTTCCAAAAAATCATCATAGTACCTATCATTAAACTCACTCCAAGATATTTCCAAATAAAATTGTCAAATTCTATTTCTCGATGCTTATTGTAAATTAAAATGAAGTAAAGTTAGTACTAGAATAGAATTATTGAATGTTTAGCTTATGATAGATAAAATTAGTCTAATACAGTTTTAGAGAGTGGCCAAAATGTATTTTTTTTAAATTATATTCTTTTTTAACAGCTACTTCATTAGGTCACTCGAGTTCATCATTTTTTTTATTGTCATACAACATAGACCCAAATTTTTGTCTTACACAAACTTACATTGTTCAGTAATTCAGTTTTTTCGTTCCTTAATTTTAAATTGTCCGAGAAAGCCTTTAGTAAAATAAAAACACAAAGAACTACTTTAAAAGTTAACTATATGAATGGCCTAATTAAGTGATAAGACAACCATCGCAAAAAATGAATTCCATGCTTTTAATTATTTGTCAAATTTTATTTATAGAAATAATGTGCCATAGAGTGAAGTATATTTTAGGTTTCAACAGTTATACGGGGTAAATATATGTAAATGTACAGAGTGTCCCATTTTGGTGAAAATCATACGGTATCTCCGTTATTAGTGAAGATGCGGTTTGCACAAACCTACCCTAATTTTTTGGCAAACGGAAGATGCTGTAAAGAAAAAAAAATTGAGTTTCTGAGTTTGTTTTCCCTGGAAAAAATATTTTTTTGGAGATAGGATACCGTATGATTTCAACCAAAATGGAATAGTCCCTGTACACCATAATATTTATTTTATGAGTTAATGATAAGCCAAAATTATTATATTTATATATACCCTGTATATCAGTTTTTATTTTACGTGTTATTAAGAAAAACGAGACTACAAGTATGCTAAACTCACACTAAAAAGTTGTTAGTAAAATTATTTATAAAAGAACGTTTCATTTGTAAGCCTTTAGTTAGAATGATTAAATTTAATAATAAAAAAGTCTTATGAATATATTAGTAGAGTACGTTTTTGTAAACATAAATTAATGTCAATTATTTTTTTAATCGTCTAATAATTTGTTTAGACAATTTATTGTATGAATTATATTTTCGATAATTATTGATTAATTTAATTTTACTAACAACTTTAAGTTTTAATGTTATAAATCTATACACATATCAATGTGTGACCATAATATAAATTCCCTTGAAAAAACGAAATCTATAGAGATATAAGTTACCTGTTAGTTTTTTCGTTTTGTTGTGATTGCATTTTAAAATAGTATTTTTATTTTCTACGTTATGTATTATATTATTTTTATATTAATAAATATGAAACAGTAGGATTTCGTAGAGATATACATATATACTACTGATTTGTGTGTATTATAACAAAACCGGTAGCAGTTTTAAGGTTGTATTTATACATTTTTTATTATTTATTTTTTGAATGGTCCGTATGTATACTAATTCTTGTTTGTTATACAAATGTAGCTCTGTACACTTATTATATTGTTATAGTCTATTTTTGTTTTATATAGTTTCTGTGGCCGTTTTTATTTTATGTATATTACATGCTTTTATTAATTTTTATGTTTTAGGTGTGAAGAATAAATAGTAAAATAAAAACGAAAACTAGTGTTTTATTATTCGTCTCCTTTAATATTAATCTAATTTACTTATAAATAAATATAAATACTTGTGAAAAGAACTTACTCACAGATAAAGGAAACAAGTTTAGATTGGAAAGTGCCCCTAAGGACAATGTAAATACAGGGTAAATACTATTTGGTACTATTCTTACAACGGTCGCTCTCCAAAGCTTTTGATAATTTCGGAGCGGTTCGGCTTTTTCCGGAATTATGTCGCCAAATATTTATTTAAATTTTTATTTCCTTTTAATTTTTAAATAAAATACAGTGTGTTGTATATGAAACTTTATTTTGTATAAGGCCATAATATATGACATACCTTTCAAAACACTGGAAACCGACGTTATGCCACGATTCACGATGGTTTTTGTAGTTCACAGTTCACAGAGTTTTTTAAGTTTTTAATGCCACTTTTTCACAATTATCACGGGTTTGAGTAAATAACATTTAAATTAAACTCACATTCCAATCTAAACTTGTTTCCTTTATCTATGGACTTACTTACTGCCATTACTCGCTGACGAGTATTTGACATGCATCAGAAGATGGTTAAGTAAGGCGTTTTCTTTCATGAGCGTTTCTATGACTGATAAGCCCGATACGTGATGTTATCTCTCTTCCGCACTCCGGACATTAAAAATCTCATTACTTTGTTGCCTGCCTCTTTACTTTTTGATTGTCGTTAATTGAGTTTACAATTCTTCTCCATTGCCGTTCTATTGTGCGCTGCTTCCTCCCTCCGATTCTGCATGCATATCCCTTTTAAGTTTTCATGGAAAATATCCTTGTACCTTTTGAGTTGTCCACCTGGTTTCCTCTTGCCATCTGCAAGCTCACCGTAAAGAAGAGATTTCGTCAGGCGGTTTTCTTGTATCCTGCATACATAACCAGCCCATCTTAAGCGGGATTTAGTAATCATGGCTTCAACGCTCTCGCAGCTAGCCTTTTCAAGGATCGATACGTTTGAGACATGGTGGTACCATTTGATTCTTAACAGTTGTCTAAGGTGTCTCTGTTGCAACTTGTTTAATGCGTTCGTGTGCCGGCGTTACGGCACCCAGGTTTCGCTTCCATATAACATGGTGGGGATTTATTGCTCAGTACACTGCAAGTTTCGTTTTTGTATTCGAGTCATGATTGTAGAAAACCCTGTCTTTTAATTTCCAGAATGCTCTTGAGGCGCTGCTAATGTGAAAAGTACTATAGATTCTTTGATAGATTTCGATAGACTAAGGAAGGAGCATAACAACAAACTTAGGTATGGCGATGGGCGATTCTGACGTAGTTTTCGGTTTATCAGTGTCCCGCTGACTTTATTTAAAATGTATAAAAATATAATGTAGAGTAGACACAATAATTTGTTGGTTTTGATTTACAAAAAAATATATGAAATCTAGGTAAGTTAAAATAATTATTTAATATCAAAAATCTTAGATACGCTACTGACACGCAAGTCAAATTGACGTATTCTAATTATTTTTGACAAGTAGTAAATAAAATCAAAAATGCAAGAAAAAGGAGGCATAGTTTTCCTCAGATTTTCCTTAATTTTGTTGTATTTCAGGAAAATATTTTAACTTCTATAGGCTGGCTAAAAAAGTATAAGTGGATCGGGATGATTTTTTTAAATTGGAACCTGTATATATTTTACAGACTTTATTATTTTTTACAACACTTTACATAATCCTAAGATATGAGTAAATATATTTCGATAATTTCAGACACCATTAATAAATTAATAAAAAATATATATTTCTCAATCTTCCTTAAAAAATTATTACCTATACAAGAACTGTCCTGAAATCAAAACTATATTAGGTATTTACTTTAAATGGTCTATACTTACTTTGCTATAAATATCGTAATCTTAAATTATACAGTGTGTTCAAAATTCTAAGTATATTATTCTTATACCAAACTTTCTAAAATATAAAATAAAGTTTCTTAGTTGTTTTTTTAATGGAGCACCCTGTATATCATTTTTATTAGATGTAGAATTAAAAAGTAAACATTTTTTGTTCTATTTAAAGTATATCCAAATTTTTAATGGTTTCGCAAGTACACAAAGTATTATTTCCTATGGCTCTTTCAAGGGTAAAATAGGTACGAGAGAAAAATCATTGGGTGGCTTTGAAAAAAATTACTGTGGAAAATGCCATATGGAATATAAAACCGCAAATATCTACAAACCGTTAAAAATTTTGATATACTCTACGTACAAAAAATGCTCATTTTTTAATTCTTCATCTATTAAAAAATAATATACACGGTGTTCCGTTTTAAAAGAACGAAGAAGATTTATTTCATATTTTAGAAAGTTTGGCATAGAATTTTGAACATCCTGTATGATTTACTAAAACTCTAAAGAAAATACCTAATATATATAGTTTTGATTTCAGGACAGTACTTGTATTTTTAATAACTTTTTAAGAAAGGCTGAAAAATATATATATTTTATTAATTTATTAATGTCTCTGAAACTATCAAAATATATTTAATCATATCTTAGGATTATGTAAAGTGATCTGAAAGGAAGTCAAAAATGTAATAGTATACAAGGTGTTCCATTTAAAAAAAATAATCCCAATCCAATCACACTTTTTGAGCCACCCTATAGAAGTTAAAATATTTTCCTGAAATACCTTCTAGTACATACTTTAGGTCTGCACAATTCCCAAGTTTTTTATTCTAGGAGCTACAGATGCCCGACGCACTTTTGCCGAACCCTATACGGGTTCAAAATGTAACAAGACTTTGTAATAATATTCTTGTAAACCCTTTCAGCATATTCTTTATTGTAAAATGTTAATAAAAACAAAGAAAATACAAAAATCTTGTAAGGGAAAGCCCCAGCGTAATAAAAAAAAATATATATTAACGAATTCTAAAACTCCCTATTATTTATTTGCCGCTGATTACCCTTATCTATATTAAGGTAGATTTAGGAATTAACAATTATCTAAAATAAAAATAGAGCCATTCCAGCGCCAAATTACATATCAGGTAAGATATAATTATTATAACGCTATGGCCTTTCGACGGATTCGCGATAACAGTTTTTATTGTTTTCTCGCTGGTTGTGCGATAACTTCAGTTTATTTCTTGTGCGTAAGTTATTCCACCTCTTCGCAACTGCAACTGAGAAATTACAGCAATTTGTCCAAACATTACAGTCAGATTTGCAAGTAAGTGTTGGTTTTTGTATTGTTTACGGTATGTACGTAAAAGATTTGGTCGCAACATATTTTTGTTGAGTATTTTTAACTGTATGTATCATCCAATGTAAGAAAAAAGAGCAAGTTCATTTTGATTATCTCTATTAGCTCTTTACTCAAAAATATGCCCATATCAAGTAAATCAAATTTTGTTTTTCGAAAAACTTGCATCCTATAAAAAATGATCGAAATATATCTCACATACAGGGTGTTCATTGATGACATGCACCCATATATAGAAAAAAACCTTCCAGAATCGCAAACGGATTTTCGCACCAACTGTGGCACCGTCGATTCCATTTCCATCCGCCAACTGCAGGAAACAGTAAAAGAGCAGCAGTCTAAACTTTATGTTGCATTCATCGACCTAACAAAAGCCTTCGACTCTGTGAACAGGGATGCACTCTGGGCAATTATGAAAAAGTTTGGAGTATCCAACAAATTTCTGACAGTATGTAAAAGCCTCCATAACAACAACAAGTCAAGAGTGTCACATCATGGATCACTGAGCGATCCCTTCCTAACAAATACAGGAGTTAGGCAAGGATGTGTTTTAGCGCCTCTCCTATTCAACATATTCATGGCAGCGCTCTCCATTATAGTCGACAGCAAACTGCAGGAGAGAGGATTGGGCATTAGATACAAATACGACGGTGTTCTGTTCAACATAAAAAGACTCAGGGCAAAAACACATACAAAGTTCATCACAGAACGTCAATACGCTGATGATTGAGCTCTAGTTGCAAAAACGTTACAGCAATTACAAGAAATGTTGAACACATATACCTTGGCATACGAGGCTTTGGGCCTTAAGCTAAACATCGACAAAACTAAAATCGTGCACTCCCCCAAAAGATCACAACAATGCTATAAGAAATCGGAGAAGAACTATTGGAATATGTAAAGGAATTCAATTATCTGGGCCGTTTGATTTCGGAAAAGACCAATATCGACTCTGAAATTCAGCACAGCATTAGCAACGCCTCAAGAGCGTTCTGGAAATTAAAAGACAGGGTTTTCTACAACCATGACTTGAGCACAAAAACGAAACTTGCAGTGTACCTAGCAATAATAATCCTCACCATGTTGTATGGGAGCGAAACCTGGGTGACGTACTGCCGACACATGAACGCATTGAAAAGTTGCAACAGAGACACCTTAGACAACTCGTAAGGATCAAATGGTTCCATCATGTCTCAAACGTATCGGTCTTTGAAATAGCTAACTGCGAGAGTATTGTAGTCATGGTTACAAAATCCGGCTTAAGGTGGGCTGCTCACGTATGCAGAATGCAAGAAAACCGCATACCAAAATCTCTGCTTTACGGTGAGCTTGTAGACGGTAAAAGGAGGCCGGGTGGACAACTCAAAATGTACGTACAAGGACATTTTCCACGAAAATTTAAAGGGGATTAACATGCAGAATGAGTGGGAAGAAGCAGTTCACAATAGAACTCACTGGAGAAGAATAATTGCAAACTCAGTTAACAGCGACAACCAAAAAGTAAAGAGGCAACAAAGCAATGAGATTTTTGAATGTTCGGAGTGCGGTAGATAGATAACATCACGTATCGGGCTTTTCAGTCACAGAAAAGCTCATGAAAGAAATCGCCTTGCGTGACCATCTTCTGATGCGTCTCAAATCGAGTAATGGCAGTAGTAGTAGTAGTGAATTAAAGTGGTCGATTTAGCGACCATCAACCTATAAAGGGTTAATGAATAGACTACAATGAAAATAATATACCGGGTGGTGCATTGGCGTTGGGCGCAGGAAATCTAATGCAAATTTTGAACTCTCCAAACATTCCAAAGCGAAGTCGAAAATAGGTTTTTTAAAGGTCATGGTATGCTGAAAACACATGCCAAATTTAAACAATTTTGGGCAAGCCGTTTATAACTAATTTAAGAAAGACTGCATCTATTTTTTGATTATCATTTTTAGTCACATACACAAAATAATTAAAATATAAAAAGTTAATAGCGTGTCATAATTATAGTAACAATGACGTCATGTTTAATGTCCACCGTATATTTGAATGTGTATAGTCTAATTTACACATAATAACAAACTATTTAAAAAGCAGAAAGCTTTTATATCCTCAATAAAAACAATGAGTAAGCCTAACAGAAGTATAAGTACCTACATAGTATAAAATTTATCTGAATAACGTCATTGTAAACTATATTCACGTTTAGTGCGTAAATAAAATCTTAGGAAGTTATATTTGTTTATAGCTACCCAATATATGCATAGATGCATACACGTGTAAGGTTTAGCACAAAAATGTGAACAAACTTATTCTTATTTTAATAAAAAAAATGTATTATTTCTCAGTTCTCTAATGCACGATACATATACAATGGTCTAGTGTCTAGTGCATGTTCACGTGGATTACACATTGTATGAACAATGCTATTTGCTATCCAAAAAAACGTGACAACCCCATCAGTCTTAAAAATACAAAATAAACACCAGTTAATTCATCTGATTATACACCTCTATATTCCACACCAGTTAAGTTGTCACATTTATTTATTTATTTCCTGGCATTGTCATTGGTTTTGACACTTTAGTTTTGTATTACGAGTTTTTGGTTTAAATGAATTGTGTTGTGATACTTTAAGCTTTAATATGTTTACTAGCAGACCTTGCAGTCGAATGTTGTTCTTTTTAGCGCCTCACTTAGAGCAAAGTGTACAAGATAGCTTAATAGCCGTAAAAAACTCATCGCAACTTTATTAGAATATTTTGAACGGGAAAGCCGTTTATTTTTCTTTCCCAAAATATTTTGATTAAAGGAAAATAAGTAAAAGTGGGCAACGCTGTGCTGGTCAAGCTTATAATCACGTGTACTTTATTTTTTACAAAGTTTATTTGATATGAACTATATGTATATGTGTTTATATTCATCCGCTGTCTTTTGTTTTCAACTGCCTGATTTGTAGTGAATTAAAATATCAGGCAACAACTGTCACTGTCAGGTATCCTCTCATTGGACAGACTTTATAGTTCATAATAGTTCAGGCACAGTTTTGAGATTATAGCTCCATTGGACTCATTTAAAAAAAAGCTATTGAGACTGCTGACATGTATTTTAAAATATACCTAGTAGGCGATATTCGGACATCTTAAAACAAGCAAAGATGGCCAGCTGGTACTGAATAAGTTGTGGTTACCGTATAAACAAAGATATCTCTTGGCTCAACTTTCGTTTAGCTGAAATCTGTTATATAAAAAATGACTTTATATATATGCGTTCTAGAAAGCGTTAGGAGTACAAATATACAAAAATTTTCCTGCGGAAATGCGACATTTTCATTTTTCGGACTTTAGTATAGCCGAAATCTGTTACATCAAAACTAGTCTTCAGGCTGTGTTTTAGACATTTTTCTAAAAATACAAAAAAGTGTCTGCGGAAATTTTTATTTTACATAAAAAAAATGCTTTGACTTTAGAATAGCCGAAATTAGTTACATGAAAAATGAACTTATATTTGTTTTATACGAGCCTTTACGAACAAAGAAATACAAAACAATTCCTGCGGAAATGTGTCAGTCATTTTGTGCACTTTGTTTTTCATACATTTTTCAGTTTAGAAGCTTACGGGACCCGGGAGCGAATAGGGGTGCTGGGTGGGGTAAAACATCTTTCGGAGGAATAACAATTCCTGTAAAATAGATAATATAGGTTCTTGTAAACTATAAGTACCTCGGAATTCTGCACTTATTCTTGTTTTTTATTAAAGCTTTTACGTAAATAGGGCTGATTCAAAACAAAAAATCATTGGATCATGCAGTTTTCTTTTATATTTTAATAATTAACTGTGATTTTGCAAAAATATTAGATTGGTTAACATTTGGGTTGCTTTGGTTAGCTTTTCTTTGTGGAGGGTGTTAAGCTGTGGTTTTTATATTTTAATAATTAACTGTGATTTTGCAAAAATATTATTAGATTGGTTAGGATTTGGGATACTTTGGTTAGCTTTTCTTTGTGGAGGGTGTTAAGCTGTGGTTTTTATATTTTAATAATTAACTGTGATTTTGTAAAAATATTATTAGATTAGTTAGCATTTTAGACACTTTTAAATGATTTTTTTTTGGTTCAAAAGTGCTTCATCCAAGGATTTTTTTTAAACTGTTCTATAAGCATAGGATTTTCTGCCAAAAAAAAATTGCTAACTTCGTGGGTATTTATACTTTACAAGACCCGATATTATAAGGAACAAATGGAAAATGAAAATCAAGCATTTCCGCAGGAAATTTTTTATTTTCATGAGTTTGTAAACGCTTCTAAAAGGCAAAAAATATATTTATTTTTTATATAACTGATTTCAACTATTCTAAAGTCTAATAAATTTCCTTAGAAAATGAAAACAGCTATTTCTGCAAGAAAATTTTTGTGTTGATATGTTCAGAAAAATATTAAAAATAAAACGCAAAATGTATTTTTTTTTATAGTAGATTTCAGTTCCGCAGGAAAATTTGTGTTTTCCGTGGTTCACAGTAGCTTTTTAAAGACAGAATTTTTTTTTCTAATAACTGATTTCAGTTTTTACCCTATCTCTTTAAAAGGCTTACATGTTCTTATTGTATATAATTACAAGACAGAACGAATTTATTAGCAATTCTGGACATTCTAATTGTAAATATACTTTTCACATTATAACTTATTGCTGTATAATTGATGTAATTATAATCCCAAATCACACACTAACCTGAAATCTCTTTACAAATATAGTAATTTTATTTTAAATAGTTTTAGGATTAAATCGTAAACTTGTATTCAAGGCGATGACGATGTTATCAGCTTATATATAATTTTCTCAATATATTACTTTTATTGCTAGATCGGTATTGCTAGACATTACAAATAAATGTTTTTATAGCAGAGTTTAATTGATAACAGGTCAAGGGTATATTTATAATTTGTATAATATATAAACTAGTATTTTTTTCAAACGTCACAGCAGGGGCGTAGATAGGTGTATGCTATGGGGGTGGTACTATGATTAAGTCGCAAAAAAAATCACCGTCGGAATTTTTTTGTCGAATTAAAACGACGGCGATTTTTTTGTCTTCAAAAAGATAAAAACATAACACAAAAATTAAAATATAGATTTGTAAATAACATAAACAAAAATGAAACAACGACGTTTATTAGTTAATTTTCTATAAACTATAAAAAAAACTCTAAACTATCAAAAAAAACTATAAAAACTATAAACTATAAATAAAACTACAAAACAAAATTAAGTTTTCTAGTACGCTGTTTGGAAAACCTATCGATAACAGCATCAACATTTATTTCAATATCTTTATGGATATTGATTAGAGTTAACCTCACTAATCTGTCCTGGCCAATAAGAACACTTTGTGTGCTTTTAATTAGGTCGAACATATTATAAACGATAAATCAACATAATTAAAAGCATACAAAGTGTTCTTATGTCGGATTTTAATTAAAAAAAATCCTTTCATAGTCAATGACTATTTCAATTCTCGTATCTCGTCAAGCGTCAGGGGGGGGTACTGTCCCCCAGTACCCCCCCCCCCTTATCTACGCCCTTGCGTCACAGAAGTATTAATTTAAAGATTTTTTGTGACAGCGGATAATTTGAGATTTTCATGCTATTATTATTATTATTATTTATTTTTAACTCTAAAAACTTATACGAGACCACCTATAACAACTTTGAAACCTGGGTCAAAGAAAAACATGTTGAGAATTTCACAGAAAAGGTATTGCACACATCACATTCACAGAAAAGAGAATTTCACAGAAAAGGTAAAAGCCTATTTCCTGAAGTTATCCACTACCTTAAAGCAGTCAACTCTGTGGAGTAAATATTCGATGCTCCGCAGCATGATTTACCTGAACAGAAACGTAGATATTAGCATATTCACAAACCTTATTGCATTTTTAAAAAGAAAAGCTTCCGGATATCAGGCAAAGAAATCAAAAATACCTATTTACAAAACTGGAAATAGAACTCTTTATGAAAGAAGCCGATAACAAAGAATTCTTGTTAGCTAAATTTGTCTTAAACGTTGGAGTATGTGGAGCATGTAGGAGGGAAGAAATCTTCAACCTGGAACACCCTATATTCTATAATATTTAAATTACTTTAACATCTTTTTTACACTAATTCTAAGAGATACTTTTACGTACGGATATTAAGATATAAGTAAATATTAATTCTTTGCCTTTTACCGTTTGTTTAAATATTTACTTTCTTACTTTTATTGTCTTACTATTATTTCTACTATAGTTATAAATCCACAGTTTTTAACATATAAAGAAGTTGGATTATACGAGAAATACATAAGCATACTTAAAATAAATTTTATAAAAGAATATGCGTGTCATATTTGCATGTATTATGAATGATTTTTTATTAAAAATTAAAAATAGATTGGGTACCTAGGTCGACTCAGCCTTAAATGAGTATTTGACATTCACAATCCTGAGGTAATAATAGGCGGTTGAAGCGTAGTGCTAGCCACATTACCTTCATTGTATACCGAACGGCTCTAGTATGGCAAGCTGTACCTTGCTACTCCCAAGGCGTTAAACGCTATATACGGGAGCTATTATTATTATTATGAACCAATAGAATTTACAAATAATATGGATTTATAGATATCTGTTCTCGCTTTATCTTATCCTATAAAAATTAATAGTTTTATTGTACTCCCAGGTGTATGAAAGCTGTACACCGGAATTTCCAAAGTTCTTAATTATTGTAGGATGATCGAGCAAATAAAAGCAAAAATTGATATACCGGGTGCGTCTCAAAAGTGGCTCACACCTATAACTTTTTATTTTCTCAGATAAAAAAACGAGATTTAGTGTGTTAGTATATGACATAAATTAGGATTGATTGACGTATTCATTTTTTTTGTATCACCTCCTGTTTCACCGGAAATGACTATAATTTTGATTTTTAAATGACACCCTAGGTATTTTTTATCTTATTCGATTAAAAATGACACTCTGAATGGAATGACATATTTTTGACATGGAATGACCCAACTTTTGACATTTCGGCATATGGTTTATTTTAAGTTGTATCATCCGGTTCATAACGACAATTTGACTCGAAATACCAAGTGTGTGGTACCAAATTATTCGTAAAAAATACTTTTTCCAAATATACAAAAGCACCACCCTTGTTCCATTTGAAAAAAATTGAGATCTTTTAATCGGCCAGAACAAGACACAAAAAACACTAGACGATTAAATCTATTTTTCCAAGGCTGGATTTTTCCAGTCTGGATTGAACTTTAAAATACGATTTATTTTTAAGAATGTTAATGTTTACGAAAATGTCAAAAGTTGACATATGTCATTCAATTCAGAGGTACATTGTCATTCAATTCAGGGGTACCATTTAAAAATCAAAGATTGTAGTCATTTCCGGTGAAAAAGGAAGTGACCAAAAACAATTATTGAATACGTCAATCAATCCTAATTTATGTTATATACTAACATACCAAATCTCGTTTTTTATCTGAAAAAATAAACAAGTTATAAGGGTGAGCCACTTTTGAGAGGCAACCGGTATACATATTTAGAGATACTGGTATAATTATTTTAAAAGCGTAATATAAATTATATTCACACTGTTATGTGATTCTTCTACCATTTCTGGATGTCATATTTTTGAATTTTTTTTTAAAAAAGTTTTTGTTTTAAAATATACCTAATATTAATTTTAAAATTTTTTGTGAAAAAAATATTAAGCCTAATTGGTTAAAAGAAAAAAGTCCAAAAAAATTCCAAGCATCATTAATTTAACAAAACATTTAATCAACATATCCAGAACGATCACGTTTAAATATACTTAAACAAGCCTTCAAACTAATTTATTATGCGTTGACTTGTTATTCTCTTCCTCCTTATAATAGAAACATTTCCTAAGAACTTTATATTTGCTATAAACAAATAAATAGGTAGCAGCAAAACAATAGATGAAAGTTGAATTAAAATTGTAATTTCATGATATTTATTTATGATGATTTGTAAAATGTGCCTGTAGAGTAAGAAAAATACAAAATATTTTCAAATACCCTGTGACGACTGCGATTCTCAACATGATTATAAATTTTGCTGACAGTCCTGCTACGAGAAAAATTTTTTTATTATTGACATTTTGAGAAAAATGCTTGTTTTTGCTTGTTTTAAAATGGTTAATCATTAAATAGCATGTTAAATAATGAAGTTATTTAAATATAACAAATTTTAGTCAATGGAAATCGGAACTTGAGATGCGACATACAAAAAACATAGCGAATGTTACAAACGATGAAAACACCTATTACGATGAGGAAGAGACAAAAAATCTTTTGGACGATTACTTCACATGCGACTCTATACCGAAATACAAATACATAGTCCAAAGAGGCCAGTACTATGCCATTTTTAATTTTGTACAAGCTGAAAAGGAGGTGGGTTGTACTGAGACCATAACACTGACGGCACCAGGAGACTACAGGTGAGTGAGTAAGTCAATAAGTGTTTTTCAGCATTGCAGAGATAACAGCTGTTATTAATAAAATAACAGTTGTTATTTCTTTTCTGCAGAATAATATCTCACTTTTATTTTTATTTATAAATAACAGTCGTTATTTATAAATAACAGTTGCTATGTTACTGATATAACAACTGTTATTTATAGATAACAGTTGCCTGTAACTGATATTTAAAAATAACTGCCTAAAATCGTGTTTCTGTTATTATTGATTTTACTTTTAAGCTGTCAAAATACTAGAAAGAGGCGGATGTATTTTATTCAAATACGTTTAAAATAAAATATACGGAATATAAGGTACCGCTTAAATTCCTGTCCCGATATTGAAGGATGGCTATAGAATTTCAATGCATTTCCTACATAAGTCTATCCTTGTGTTGTAGGAGGTTTGACTAAACAAGGATGAAGTTATGTCTTGAAACCATTCGATTCGATTTTCTGTCCTTCAATACTGAGACGTAAATCCTCTCATTGCTCTTACGGGGAGGCCGTCGTATATTTTATTTAAACGTATTTGATTTTAATAAATACTTTTAAAATGACGGAACTGAACACTGTAATTTTCTGTAATTTTCAATTTACTAAAAACAATCATAGAGGCATAATCATTGTGACTTTATTTGTAACTATAACTAGAACAATCAAGAGAAGAGAGACCAGCAAGCAAAAAGAAGCCGAAAAGCTAAAATCAGTCCGTAATAACAGTCACAGCTCTAGAATATAAATTGCCGATTGTCGTTTACGCCTTAACTGTTATTTTCATACCGCATATATTTTTTTGAGGTAACAACTGTTGCGAGCTTAGTAAAATTTTGTGGTCAATGATCATGACATCAATGACAGAGCACTGTTATTTTCATACCTGTTGTTTTTTGAAAGTGACTGTTGTGAACTGTTATTGTGTAATAATAGCCCACTAATCAACAAGCAATGTTTACAATATTGGTAAAAATCATATTAAAAATGCTTAGTAGTGTTTAACCATTAGAAGGCACTGTGAAATTTAAAGTGTTTTTATTGGCAAGAGCCATTAAACAATTTATATTATTTACTATATTTCCTCAACCCAAATCTTAATAAATATTCGCTAAACTAAATTATCATTTTTCAATGAAAAATAGTTAAATCTTCTAATAATACTAATTAGGAGGTAAATAAATATTAAATAATAATAATATAACCTATATTTAAAATAAACTCTTTTAAACTTTTTTCCTAGAGTTTAAATAAAAAAAGTATTACAACTAATCCAGCATTAAACATTTCGGCTTATTTAATAATTATTCGACTATTTGAAGATTTTTTTTATCTCATAATTATTATATTTCTACTAGAATTCAAAGAAAAAGAGTGCCTTTTGTCTTTATAAATACCTATAACAATGTCCCCATTCGATCTAATATCATACATAAACATATATAAACAATTCCTGTAATTTTTACTTGTATTTTTTAAAAATAAATATTATGAATGGGATTAGGGTTAATTCACAGTCAAATATTTTATCATTTATCACCAATTTATCCCGGCATTCCTAGCAAGAAAATAGAAATAATTACGTTCATTATGAGACGATGCCTTCGGTGGAATGTTCGTAATAGATATTATTATCGAAATCAGTTAATTGACAACCAAAATTTACTATCTATAATATGTATAGATAGATAATACCGACGTTACGTAGGTATTTATACATGATTAACGTGATTAGAAGAAGACGTAGAAAGTTCCTTATGTTAGTTTATGATTAAGTTTCTTATGCTATTTGAAGAATACACGATGTTTTACGGCAGTTTCAGAAAATAGGTCGTTAAATAAAACATTTACGTTGGGGAAAATGAATCGTGAGATTAGATTCATTGCTTGCAATCCGATGAGCCGTAAAAAAGAATCGTGCGAATTGAAACGGATCACAATGCGATCGTGCGTTCACAGAGTCGTGAGAATTGATTCATTGCTTACAATACGGTTCGTTCAAATGAATCGTGGCCAGCACGGATTCATGAGATTTGAACGATGAGCCGATTGAATTGGATTGATAATTTTATATTATTGGTAAAACAATCAATCCAATTACGCCAGTGTCATAAAGTGTTGAAAAACAAATGAAAGAACTGTACATTTCTTTTTCTGGTCCCTTAATGCAGGCACCACTATTTAGACTTGAACAAAAGCCCTAAAAAACATCATGGGCATAAAATACAAACGATAAAGTTATTTACAAGAAAAAAATTGGTCAAGTGCGAGTAGGACTCGCGCACGAAGGGTTCCGTATCATTCATTATCTATACAACATTAAGGTGCGTATTCATTATCCGAACGAACGAACGAACGAATGAAAGTGCGGTATATTTAGACGGGGATCGAACGCATGCGGCCGTTCGTTCGGTCGTGCGCTCGACCATCCGCTTCGAGTCGGTACATCAAAGGCGTTCGCCTGCGTGCGCTTTCAGATTTAAGGTGCGTATTCATTATCCGAACGAACGAACGAACGAACGAATGAAAGTGCGGTATATTTAGACGGGGACCGAACGCATGCGGCCGTTCGTTCGTTCGTGCGCTCGACCATCCGCTTCGAGTCGGTACATCAAAAGCGTTTAGACGTCATGGTACAAAGAATACAAGGTATGATCGATAGCGGCTCCAATTTCGTTCAGTTCGCGCATACCACCTGTGACGTCACTAGGAAAATAATGAATAAATAAAAAATAAAGAAAGTTGACAGGAGATCTGCAATTTTTGGGGTTATGGTTAAGAATTGTTTATTTTAAGACTTTTTAGTTCGTTTAATTTAATAATTACTAAAACCAGCAGTTCCAAAAATATATTTAAAAATAATAATTATCTATTAACATGGATTTGGACGATAGGTAAGAATACTGAATTTATTTCTATATTCGGTATAAAATTGTTTATTAGGTTTTTAGTTTGCGATGTTTATGGTAAATAATTTTCATTTTCATTGCCTCTGAATTCACATGAGGACAGAGTTGAGGATATCTATGGAAAAGTAACCACAAGAGGAATTGTTACATCATTTAAAAAATATTGGGAAGTTTATTGTTTCCCATCGAAAAGTAGAAAATGCCAATGCAGATGAACGTATTGTAATTGTGATAGAAGTAATTCTAAGGGTGAAGTTTATTATAATTAGTGGAAGTAATACCAAGGGTGAAGTTTATTATAATTAGTGACCTCTGCTTCTTTTTATATGTAGAAGTTTCTGGTTTTGAGAATAAATCGGTTGAACGACACCCAAAATTTAAAGGAAGTATTTGCATACCCAGAATATGCCCATCAAGGATTATATAGCTCAAATTTCCTTTAATGGTAGGCAATTATTCAATGCAAATTAACTTTTTAAGTGACTAAAATATTAAATAGTTTACAATATGGTATATCACTAAAAATATATTACTTTTAGGTACAATTAGGGCCCGATACATTTCAAAAAGTAGAATATTATTTTATATTAAATGAGGTATTGTACTAACAATCAATTTATATTAATAACGGAGATTAAAAAATAACAGAATAAATAGTTCTGTTTCTTATACTACTAAAATAAACTATAGAATACAACAGTATTTAAAAAAAAAATAAAAAGTGATGTTCCGGCCGAGATTCGAACTCCGGTCTCTCGCTTCCTAGCCCGACTCCTTATGCACTGCTCCATAGTAACTTGCTTAGCGATAATTCAATGACGGTATATAAACAAAAAAAAAACAGGTTTATAACAATATCTTGACGATTTGAACTGGCGCGCGAATGAAGAAATGCGTGCGGTCTTCTCGTGCGGTTCTATCGTGCGGTCCCCGTCCATACCACTAGCGAACATTCGTTCGTTCGTTCGTTCGTTCGTGCGGATAATGAATACGCACCTTTAGACACTATATTATTATAAACTTTTTTTCCGATTTAACTGAAATTTTGAATGCGCGTATAAGTAATTAAAAAAAAATGAAAAAACACATTACTAAAAATTGTATTAATCAATAATAAATATGTAAAAATTAAAAAAAAAACGATTAAAAAAAAGTCGCCTTAACTAGGATTCGAACCTGCCTTACTACGGCTCCAACGTCATAGCAGCGTAAAATCCTAACGCTTTAACCACGCGACCACTGACTTGAAAGATTCTATGAAAAATTCTTATGTCGAACTAAAAGACGAAATCGTGTTTTATGCAACGCCGTCGGCGTCGGTGGCGTCCGTCGTAGCGTTTTTGTAGCGTTTGGCTCTAAAAATATTAAATTGGTATTAAGAAGTCTTTTAGAAATAGTATATATAAATTGGATTGATAATTTTATATTATTGGTAAAACAATCAATCCAATAACGCCAGTGTCATGAAGTGTTGAAAAACAAATGAAAGAACTGTACATTTCTTTTTCTGGTCCCTTAAGTAAATGTCCTACCTACCAAATTATCGTCGGTAGTGCCAGTTACGATTCTTGTTTTTATGAAAGGTAAATTGCGCATGTGGTTCGTTCAAATGAACGAATCGTAGGAGTCGATTCAATATGCGAAATTGAATCGTGTGATTCGATTCACTAAAAAGAATTGTAATGCCCATCACTAATATAAACCCCACTGTAACCACAGTTAAAAGAATCATAATAAATATTAAGAATTATGATTATTGTTACTGCATAAGAATTATGATTATTGTTATTTCTGCATATCGTCGGCTTAATCGGCTTAGTGCGTAACTCCATTCCTACAAATTTTTCAGGAGACACAAAAAACGATTTTACCTCTAACTTTATTTAATTTTATCACAATTATTGCTTTTAATGATTAAAAAATATCATAAAAGTGACAAAAACGAGGGGCATAATTAGTATTGTAACATTAATCATTAATTTTTATAAAAAATGGAGATAGGTAATTTTCTTTTTATATTTTAATTTAAAAATTGGAGATAGGCATTTTTCTTACCAATAAAGCTATAGCAATAAAATA